CTCTGATACATGGTGGCAGGGGCTCACCATGAGTCATGCTGAGAGTGTGCTGGCTGTTGAGCCTGCTACTGAGCCTATTGCATAGTTTTATAATTGATAATATCTCGTGGTTACACAACTATTCAATTAAACTATATCTAACATCTCCAACTCTAGCCTTAGCTGTAGCTTTAGTTGAACTTTCTCTATTCAGTTTTTAAATAGTGTGTGTCTAGATAAGTACTTGTAAATAATTGTAGATTAGCAGTTTGCCAGTCCCTTTGCAGCATTTCCCAACCTTTTTCAGATGGGGACCCATTTTGACAAGTCAGGAAGACTTGGTGACCCAGGGCAATTCAAAAAATGTGTGAATGGCTCCTTAAGAGCCACCTGGGGAGATACCTGCCCACTCTTTTGAAATGTAATGGCAACCCATATTTGGGTCCTGACCCATAGGTTGGGAAACCCTGCTCTAGGCACTTAGATTGAGGCTAGGACTTGCCCCTCTCCCCAGGCTTTAAAGCCTGTGTTAGAAGCTGCAGGCTTATGCCAGTCAGTGACCCACATACTGACTGCTGAGTGAGAGAAGCATATATTTTGGACAAGTGTCGGATCTGCAAATCTTCTTGTTCTAGGACATTAAAAAGCCCTATTCATAGAGTTCACCCTCACTGTCCAAGACCAGCACTCAGAATCATCAGCCCAGCATTGGTTGTCACTCCTGGCTCTGTGTAAGATAGGCGTGGGGAACTTCAGGCCCTGGGGCCATATGGAGCCCCCAGCTTGTCTGGATCCACTCCCTGAGGCTCAGGGTATTTGGGGAGCCCGTACTGGCACTCAAGCCTCCCTACTGCCCCACTATGAGGCAGGAGCGCACAAAATGTACTAGCCAGGGCTTCCGTAGGCTCTGCTGTGCAGGGGAAATGTGGGGAGTGTCTTTCTCCTCAATAAGGGGCCATGTCCATGAGCCAAAATGGCACCCCTTCCCATGGTCCTGCCTGATGACATCAAGCCTCATCAGGACTTTCCAAAGACAGTGACAACCAACTTGGTGGAGGAGGTTCAGGATACCTCAGACTCCCTCTTTGGAGTCTTTGCCCAGGTGGTGCCAGCTAGAGAGGCCTTGCTGCTGCATGAGGGCATGGCCAAGATTGCCACGGTTCTGTGGCAGACTCCTTCATCCCTCTTGCCTCTTTCCAAAAGAGTGGAAGGGAAATACTTTGTGGCCACCAAGGACCATGAGTATCTGTATACTCAACCTGCACCAAACTCTATGATGGTGGAAACGGTCAACCACAGGGAGCATCAGGGCCAGTCTGCCCCCACTCCAAGAAATACAAAACTACAAACATTTGGATTTCTTTGGGCGTAAGCTTTATTTCTCAGCAAGCTTTCGACTTCAGGTGGCAAACCACCAAGACCTTCTTTGCCACTACAATCTCAATACGTAACAGGCAAAGTCCAAGTTTGAGACCTCACTCCAGGAAGCCCCTAGGAAAGAGTTTAAGGCTCTTGCAGAAGAGGAAGCCTCTTTAGCCAGAGCAGCACTGCAGAGGTAGGTCTATACTACAGTCCTTTGTTGGAAAAGGCTATGGAAATTGCGTTCTGCAGTTTGCATAGCTTTTTCTGATTGCTTTTCCAGAAGAGGCTTTTCCTCCATTTGGCCTGGCTATGGCTCCCAGGGTTTTCACAAAGATTATGTCAGTGGTTCTGACTTACCAGAGGCATTGAGGGGTTTAGCTATATCCTTACCTCGATGACTGGCTCATCAAGGTTCATTCTGAATCCACAAGAGCAGGCCTGCTCAGCCAGTGTGAAATTGGTGCTCCTTTAAAGTAGGAAGCCCTCAACCTGGTCTATCTACATGGCAAAGTGGACCCAGTTTTCTATATTGGCTGCCCAAAGAAGGGTCACCCCTACTGATGCTCTCCTCCAGCTGATCCTTGATTATCTCTCATGCTGGAAGAAGAAGGGTCTTGAGCTAGCTTCAGTCAGAGTTCATCTTACTACTGTTTCCATGTTTCATCCACTGATTCAAGACTGCTATGTTCTCTTGTGACATCACAATCTGATTATTTTTTTGTATTGGCCTGTACTGCATTTGCTGTGCAGCAATGTAGTCTTCAGTGCACAAGCTTCCGTTCCATTATGCCATCACGCAACACACTGGGAATGATGTAGTGTTCGACAGAGCTGTCTTGTGATCTGAATGTCCTTAAACTCCTACATGTTTCTGTAAATACTTATGTGTTGAATGGAAAAAAGACAGTTATCTGTATCTGTAACTGGTGTTCTTTGAGATGTGTTGTTCATGTCCATTCAACTTCCTACACTCCTCCACTCCGTCAGAGTTCCCAGTAAGAAAGAACTGAGGAGGGAAGGGCCAAGGAGTGCCCTATATAGTGCATGCACATGCCTTTCATGGGGTGCTGGACCCAGTCCCCTGAAGAACACCAATTGTGGAAATAGGTATTGGTGAGTTGGTTGGTTGGTTGTTTTTTGCAAGAACTCTTTAAAAAATTACTTTTTTAACCTATAGTAATTATAAAAAAATAAATTTGCACCTTAGTTGCCCTCAGATCTCTCAATCAAAGGATCTGCACATACTAAAAACTATTCTAGGATATTAGAGAGTTTGCCAAACATACAAACTGTATGTTCTATGAAATGGGAGAGTTAATGAACTCCCCAAATTATAAAGTGAATTTGAAAAGTGTCTCATCTGGTGGGGGGTACCATTACAGGCAGTCCCCGGGTTACATGGATCCGACTTACATCGGATCCCTACTTACAAACGGGGTGAGGCAACCCCGCACTAGCTGCTTCCCCCCAGCAGACCAGGGAGACGCAAAGCTAGCACACACACACACCCCCCCCCAGCAGACCAGGGAGGCGTGGAGCGGCTTTTCTCAGCAGACACCTCAGCTTGGGAATAAAGGACTGAGGGAAGTGAGGTGTGGGAGAATAAAACTGAGCTCTGGAGAAATGTTTGACTAGAGTTTCCCCTACAATTATGTACCAGTTCTGACTTACATACAAATTCAACTTAAGAACAAACCTACAGTCCCTATCTTGTATGTAACCCGGGGACTGCCTGTATAATGCCAGACAGTACTAAATAGATGAAATAATGTGCACAACTGATGATAAAATTAAGAGTTCTTTCAACAGCAAATACCTTGGTCAATATTTTTTACTTATGCCTCATAACTTTTGTTTTTAGGGAGAGGAATCTCTAAGCTTACTAAAATCTCTGCCGTTTGCTGAATCTGAGGAAGTTGCAGAGAGATTGTGTATATGGGCAAGACTGGTATTACAGAATGTAACAGATAATTCTGAAGAGGTACTGACTAATTTCACTTCATAAAATACATATACGCTGATTGTTCTAAATCAGAGGGGGACAAAATACAACCTGCCAGACTTCTGCATCTCTCCTGTAGCCCAGCACTAGCGTTGGATCTTGCTGTTGAAAGTTGCCAGGTGTCATCTGCATGCCCAGAGGGAGGAAGGGCTTTGCACACTGCCCCTGCCTCCAGCATAATTTCACAACTCTCGTTGGCCAGTTTCTGGCCAATGGGAGCTGCCTGGGCCATGCTTGTGGTGCAAACCGTGTGTAGAATACCTTCTCTCCCCTAAGGCAGGGAGCCTGCCTGAGGGTTCCACTGGGCTGCTCATGAGGAGCTGCCTACATAAGCACCTGCCAGCCAGAGCCTGCACTCTCCCTCTTCTAATCTTTTTCCCCCCACTCTGGCACCCATGCTCTTTCCCATATCTTACACTCCCTCCTGCACCCCTCTTCCAAGTCAGAATCCTCTCCTGCATCTGTGCCACCTCTTAAACCCTGCACTTTAAATCCTTTACCCCAGGTAACAACTCCCTCCTGCCCTAGATCACAATCCAAACCTCTGGACTCCTGCCCCAAGTTATAGCCCTCTCCCAGACTCAGCATTCCCACCTATAACCCTCTTCCAGTTTCAAATCCTCTTCTGCAACCATACTCCCTCCTGGAGTCTGCACTCCCTTCTCACCCCAATCTCCTACTCCTCTTTCATCCAAACTCCCTGTCAGATACTCTTTCCTGCACCCCACTACCCTATCCTGCATTCCCTTCTGCACTCAAGCTTTATCCCTGATGTTCAGCCTCCTCCATTAATATGGAAAAGTGCAGCCTTTGACCACTTAGAAAATTCTTGTAGTGGCTTTCCCCGTCAAAAATTATTGTTCATATCTGTTCTAAATGTTGCTTTCGACATACATGTGATTAATGTAGAGTTGGTGAAAGCTAATGTATGTTTCAAAGATACAAAGGTACATATTTCTTGTTTTTTGTATTAATTAATCCATTCAGTAAAAAGCTAATGATGTAAGATAAAACTATTTTATCAGAATGTTTCCCATAGTTTTGAGGCACACATTCATCTTTGATACAAAGATTTGCATAGTTGATTCCCATGTATATTTATATAATTATAAATGAAAATCCTAATGCATTACCCTAACTTTAATCAGTAGTAAATTCAGGATTTAACAAACTGATATAGCTCAAATAATTTTAAAAATTTGTCTAAGATCTAAAATGTTTGTAAATGACACAGCAATGACATATGCTGAAATAAATGTCAATACTTGCAAATTATGGAAAAGCACTTTCAAAAATAAGAATAAAACATATTATTATCCTAGGCTCTTTATTTTGTTTTTGTCTAACTAAATGACAAAGTTTTATTTTCCAAATCTCAGTTAAGATCCAGTAAGTTGCTGTGACTATAGTAAATAATTTTGGTGCTACAACGTTCCATGTATAAAGTGTACCTATTTATGCTACGGAATTTCCGTTTCTTTTATATTTGAATTCAGTAATATAAATCCTAGAGACATGAGAAGCCTTGATCATAATTGCTTCATATAATGAAAGCTTGAGAAGTCTCTGTTTGACATTCGTAGTAATGTCCAAATTTTGCCTCTGTTGAATGTAATTCTGCTGCCATCATAATTTACTTAGTTTTAAATACACATCTCAGATTATTTTACCCATTGAAGACCAAATGAAATATTAACTTATTACTTTTTTTCAGCGCAAAACACAAATGTGTATAACAAAGTCACTTGTGGCAGTTCTTAAATTCCTGCTTAGCATTCAGAAAGGTAAGTTGTAACTTCCCCTTATGTGTTGTCACAATAAGTAGCTCAATAAGTAAATATTTTTCTTATTTTATAGAAAATCCTCTGAAGGAAGATGAATGCAAAGCAAACTTAAAAATGTTTGAATCGCTTGCTAGCCTGCAGGTAAGTATTTTATAGTTGCAAGAAAATAAATAGGTTGGAAATTACTGAATGTTACTAAATGCGTTTTTTAAAATGAATGCTATTAAAATATAACTTTAGTTTCAATTTTAATACATTTGCTGTGTGTAATAATGTCTTACAAATGAACTAAAATGTTCAAATAGCCATGGATGATTGATCAACAGATTTTGTCAAATTACTTTTTTGCTATCATTGTAATACAGATAGCTGTAATACAGAGAGCTGATAGGTAAGGTCCCATGGGAATCAAGATTGAGGGAAAAAACAGCTGAGGAGAGTTGGCAGATTTTCAAAGGGACATTGTTAAGGGCCCAAAAGCAAGCTATTCTGCTGCGTCGGAAAGATAGAAAATTTGGCAAAAGACCGCCTTGGCTTAACCATGAGATCTTGCATGATCTAAAAATCAAAAAGGAGTCATATAAAAAATGGAAAGTAGGACAAATTACAAAGAATGAATATAGGCAAACAACACAGGAATGCATGGGCAAGATTTGAAAGGCAAAGGCACAAAATGAGCTCAAACTAGCTACAGGAAAAAAGGGAAACAAGAAGACTTTTTATAAATACATTAGAAGCAAGAGGAAGACCAAGGACAGGGTAGACCCACTGCTCAGTGAGGAGGGAGAAACAGTAACAGGAAATTTGGAAATGGCATTAATGCTTAATGACTTCTTTGTTTCAGTCTTTACCAAGAAGTCTGAAGGAAAGCCTAACATAGTGAATACTAGTGGGAAGGGGGGAGGTTTGGAAAATAAAATTAAAAAAGAACAAGTTAAAAATCACCTAAAAAAAGTTAGATGCCTGCAAGTCACCAGGGCACCAATCTGATAGCTTTCTCTGATTGGATAAAGAGTCCTGTGGATAAGGGAGAAGCGGTGGATGTGGTATACCTAGACTTTAGAAAGGCTTTTGATACGGTCTCGCATGATATTCTTATCAATAAACTAGGCAAATACAACTTAGATGGGGCTACTATAAGGTGGGTGCATAACTGGCTGGATAACCGTACTCAGAGAGTAGTTATTAATGTTTCACAATCCTGCTGGAAAGGCATCCTGTGGATAAGGGAGAAGCGGTGGATGTGGTATACCTAGACTTTAGAAAGGCTTTTGATACGGTCTCGCATGATATTCTTATCAATAAACTAGGCAAATACAACTTAGATGGGGCTACTATAAGGTGGGTGCATAACTGGCTGGATAACCGTACTCAGAGAGTAGTTATTAATGTTTCACAATCCTGCTGGAAAGGCATAACAAGTAGGGTTCCTCAGGGGTCTGTTTTGGGACCGGCTCTGTTCGATATCTTCATCAATGATTTAGATATTGGCATAGAAAGTACGTTTAAGTTTGCAGATGATACCAAGCTGGGAGGGGTTGCGACTGCTCTGGAGGATAGAGTCATAATTCAAAATGATCTGGACAAATTGGAGAAATGGTCTGAGGTAAACAGGATGAAGTTTAATAAAGACAAATGGAAAGTGCTTCACTTAGGAAGGAACAATCAGTTTCACACATACAGAATGGGAAGCGACTGTCTAGGAAGGAGTATAGCAAAAAGGGATCAAAGGGTTATAGTGGACCACAAGCTGAATATGAGTCAGCAGTGTGATGCTGTTGCAAAAAAAGCAAACATGATTCTGGGATGCATTAACAGGTG